CCATCCCTATTTTTATCATTACAAACTGCATGTTGAAGCAATTATTTGAAATCATTAACACATAACAATAAATCTGATTACATTAGGGCAACTACATTTACATTTGCACATAAAAAGAATTACACATTCCCTGTAAAGGGCCCATTTACACTTATGCATTGTCATAGCTTGTGTCAATGTACATGTCCTAGAGCTTGTCATTTGTTGCTACTACCAATGCAATCTCATGGCAGCTTATCTTTAAAAAAAAATATATATATGGGAAAGAGAATGGCTTAATGCGAGTAATATGTATTAATAGAAAACCTTGTTTCTGTGTATAGCTATTTATATATGTACATGGATGGAGCCATATTGGCCTATTATATGTGCAAGTACTGCCTCTAGCATAATAGTGCTGCACAGTTTGTATCCCTTGCTGATCATCTTATCTCTCTGCAAGTCTACCAGGTATAGTCTGCAGACTCCTATAAGGTAAAACAACCACAATGCTCCTTGTAGCCATAGACTGTGTAACACAGATTGACCAGGCTTTAGGCCACATAAGCATTGGAGCAGCAGTTTTTGTTTTTTTTTTCACGGCAAGAAACATTATATTTTACTAAATAACAAGCCCTATTGCTCTGTCTGAATTGTGAATTTTAATAATCAGTCCACTATTACGTCTTTTTTTGATTTTCTATCAGTATTACATTTATTTGTTTTTCCAATACATTCTGTTAATGTTTGGTTTGTAATTATTATCACTTTATATATATATATATATTTTTTCTTGTTTGCTTTCCAGAGTTACAAGAAAAGTTCACATGTCATTGTTACTGTACATCCTCTGCAAAACACAATCACAGACTTCTGGAGGCTAGTCTATGACTACGGCTGTAGCAGCATTGTCATGTTAAACCAACTAAATCAATCTAATTCTGCATGGGTAAGAGACTGACCTACCCTTTCATGCTGAATCACTGACCCCATCATGCTGTACTGCTATATACAGTATACTGTAACTCTTTTATGGGAGAACAATTTTTAACGGAATATATTGCAAAAGAGGGAGAAGCTTTTTTTTATCTTTTTTTTTTTAACCAAAACCAGACTTATTAGCAGTAGCCCCACATAAGGCCGCTTCAGTGGGCCTTCATTTAGCTTCTGTTAGTATTGCCTCTGGCAATGATTCATTATAGCACAGTCACAAGGAGAATGAAGATAGACTGAAATACCCTTTTACAGCTTCTATGGAAAAAATTGGAGTTACCCAGAGAATGGCAATGAGCTACTCTAAAATCAGATTACATGCAACATGTTCATTCTGACTTATTCATTTTATTTAATAACTTTTGGCAAACAGAGCGTTAATTCACACACACACTGTAAATGTTTCCATGCATTTTAAAAAACAAGCAATCACCTTGGGAACGTGCTTACTGCATTTCCCTCGGTTGCCTGGCATGGTCTCATTCAAGCCTTTAAAAAAAGAGATCTTTGAACCCCAGGCAGCTTAATTCATGTCAAACAGCATGGCAATACATGTGTAGTGTGGATGAGCTCTGAAGTATATGCTATAGGAAAGACGGTTACAAAATTGTGTTTCGTTCAGGAATCCTATGCACTGCCTTGTTACTGCTAGCAATATAAAAATTCTTGTTGTCAGATAAACGATTTACTACATGAAGATACACCATAGTGGTTTGTATACTTTTAAGTTGTACATAGCATAAATCAGGCAAAGTCAAAAATTACTTTTGACTGTTTATAGTGATATCTATCCTAAACTAAAAATACCACGTGCCGCTCCAGGTGAGGCAAGGTTAGAAAGCCTAGCGTGAAACGCGGCGATATATGAGCTTATTCTTGCTGCCTATTAAAGGAAGAACATTATTTTGCAACTCAGTGTGTGGTGTTCCTGTTACTGCTACTATTGTTTATAGTGATAGTTATGACTATTTTTATGTTATTGGTGTAAGTAAAGCATGCATCCCAAAATATATTTCTTGTAGTATGTTTATATTTATTTGATCCCCATCATAAATATAATTCTGCCCAGTACTTTGCGTTAGTAAATATTTATTGTATTGGTAATATGTGCCCCCTCCCTCCATACCCCTACCTTCCTTTATACACCCCAAGACATAATTTTAGTGCTCTCCTAACTCTCTTCTGTGATCACCATTAGCCATGCTTGCAGTACTGGCCAGACAGTGGAATTTCCAGATATGGACCGATGGAAGTTCAATTTGTGTCTGGCTCTGTAGACGAAGATGTCATAACGCGCCTGTTCCGAGTACAAAACATAACAAGGGTGAGTTGCCAGAATAGCTGTTTGTGAAATTCTAACATAAAGATTCAAATGAAACTGACCAGTTTTAGCATGTTCTATCTTGCAAAGAAGTTTTACTTAAAACAATGTAGGCTATTGTTTGTTTCTCTGATACCATTTCACTTTTACATTTTCATTGTAAAATTAGGGGTACCCTTAAAGTCCATTCACTCAGATAGCCACAACAGCAGATGTAGGCTAACCAGTTAAATAAAGCATATGCATGCTCTTCTGACACCTACTTATCATCATTTTGGGCCATCACAGCTGCTTAACCACTTAAAGGCCATGGTGTTTCACCCCCTTCCTGGCCAGGCCATTTTTCAGTATTCAGCGCTGCGGTACTTTGACTGATGTTTATTCCGTCATGCAACGCTGTACTGAAATTAATTTCATACCATTTTTTGGGGACAGATAGACCTTTCTTTTAGTGGTATTTAATCACCACTGGGGGTTTTTATTTTTTACTATATAACAAAAAAAGTACCCTAAATTTTGAAAAAAAACCATGTTTCCCTATAAAATGTTATGAAACATTTATTTTCACCCCAATTTTTTGGTATAATATAAAAGACGGGGTCACGTCGGGTAAATAGACACTAAACATGTCAACCTTTAAAATTGCGCGCGCCCGCGAAATCGCAGAAAACTTCCCGCAACCAAAATTGGCCATAGGCGACGCTTTAAACGTATTTACCGCTCATCAGTTTAGTGTCATCAGTGATTGATGGCCCTAGACTTATTGTTCTCACTGAGACGTTCGCGGGGATATGTAACAGGCGTAATGGGCGCAATCGTCGTTTTTGTACATAGACGCACCCGACGCATGTTTGCGTGTGTATGTGGGGGGGTGGGGGACTTTAAAACATTTTTTGTGTTATTTTGTTTAATTATTATTTGTGAATATTTTTTTAGCTTCTTTATTTTTTTTTAATGCTGTAATTTTTTTTAAAACTTTTTTTTTTAGACTTAACTTTATTGCTATAACATAGGGGACTAAGGAATCCCCTATGTAATAGCCAATTCACCAAACAGGTCCTCTTTATGGAGACATCAGGGGTCTCCAAGACCTCTGATGTCACCTAGGGACCCCCAGAGAAGCTGATGAAGCAGAGATCTGCTTCATCAGCTTCTCTCCGGTGTTCTGCACCGGAGAGTGACACTGAATGCAGGAAGTGATGTAATATACATCACTTCCTGCATTCGGGGACAGGAAGAGAGATCAAAGGGATGATCAAGTAATGATCTCCCTTTGATCTGCTGTTAGAGCGTCGCCGTGCCGGTCCCAGCCGCACCGGCCACATCGGATCACGGACCGGCAGCGGCGACGAGCAGACAAAGGTACGGGGGGGAGGGGGGAGCGGGGCACACCCGCAGCTCCTGCAAGCGATCGGGCGTCTCTAGAGACGCCTGATCGCTTGTATGTAAACAGCCATCGCTGGCTGTTTACATGCTTACCGTTTTCCCTCTCGTGTGCGCGCTGAGTGCCGCACACGAGAAGGGGGAGGGGCAGGACGTCTCAAGACGCCCTCCCGCTCCTAGCAGACGTCCGTCCGGCCGTTCACAAACGGCCATGGACGGAAGGTAGTTAAAGTGAAACATTAGGTACTCCCTTACTAGCTATGATATTTGATGTGAGGTGGGTTTGCAGTGGCGTAACAATCACCATAGCGACCCAGACGGCCGCTATGGGGCCAGAGGCACGGCGGGGCCCCGGCCAGGACATCTCCCTGATGCCATGCGGGCCACCTGGGTCGCTATGGCATCTTGCTCGGACAGCCAGGCTGCTGGCTGTCACTGGCGGCTGTGAGGAGGAATGCTCCCTTCCTTCTCACAGCGGCTGCTGAGTTGGTGACAACCAGCACCTTCGCAGGAGGTGGCTGGGCCCGTCATCGGCAGTGATCGAGGAGGCGGGGCCCAGTGACGGAGGAGTCGATCGTGGAGGAGAAGGAGGCGGACAGAGGATCAGGGCTGACAGGTAAGAGGGCTTGACCGCCCGCCTGAGACCCTGCAGAGCCTACCATAGAGAGTCTATGGTGGGCTCTGCAGGGTCACCCTTAGGTGGGCTGTTTGGGTTATCAGGTGGGCTTAACTAGAAATCACAGGGCCCCATACAAAATTTTGCTATGGGGCCCTGTGATTTCTAGTTATGCCCGTGTGGGTGTGTATGAACTTTTTAGGGAGGGCATTTTAGAAATGTAAAAGCAACATTGTGCAGTGTTTGTGAAGGTTGATGGTGTGTAGATGCAATGTCCAATGTAAACTGCAGATATTGTCTGGTGTCATTATAGAGGCATCAGCTAACCAAAAACATTGTCCATATGAAAATCCAGTTTACAACAGATCTTTTTCTTAGCTCCATGGGATTTGTAAATCATGCATTAAACCCCTTTCACATATTTAAACAAGAATTCAAATGTATTTAATGCTTGAAGTGAGTGGAATTAGCGCAACAAAAATCTGGAATCTTTAATGGAGTCCTGTAGACAGTCTGTAGATAACAATATATTCATTTTGAGTGAGAATTCAAAGAGTAAAAATACATTTAAATATTTCAGTACTAAAAAAACATCATCTTTTGAACTCTGGATAGGACTGTAAAGTATATTCTATTTATGAGTCACTGCCTTAGAATACATTAAATTGGATTCGTTTGATAGACAATCTTTGCAAGCGTTTGCGTTGTATAGTGCTTATCTGAAATTTGCATGCGGTCAGTGTAGCTGATGCTTCACATTTTGTCTGTACTTATCTGTCTTCTTGGCTGTTTGACATGTAAGTTCGATTTGTACATTGATTTTCTGTAGGCCATGTCTGATAATTTTTTGATACATCTGCTTAGAAAGGCAGCTGTTGTAAGAACTTAATAGGCACTAATGGTGCAGTATTTCAATGTCATTATCATATATGTGTCCAGTGTACTATATACCCCCCAGTCTGCCGCCATTTGTACTTATATGCGCTACATCTTTTTATACAAAGCCTTAGATCTGCATCCTATACCTTACTTTCATCCATCCACTGCTATGTTTAGCACCATGCCACTACCTGCAAACACTTGCTCCCCATTTGGTATGCACAATAATATGTACCACAGTGCATTTTTTCAAGCACAGTGGGTAAGTGGACAGCCTTCTTGCATTGTATATCAGGGGTTCCAGGTTCATGTCCAACCAAGACTTTGCATGTTCTAAAGGTGTTCAGTTGAGCCACACCCAAAGTTTATGTGTACCAAAACCCAAGACATGTACAAATGCAAAGGGTCACAGGTATAAAATTATCTGTCTGTATTCTGCAAGATCTCAATATCAATCAAAATAAAAACAAATCACACCACGCTAATAATCTCAAGTATTACTATATAGTTTGCAACACTAGCTGATTACTTTCTGATGTAGGGTAATCACACTAAAGTCTTTCAACTAATATGTTAGACATGTGGTAGTGGGAGACATTATGCGTATCAGATGAAAAGGACTCAACTACAACTATCTATGACTAAATCCTGGATAGGGTGAAATGTGTTGGAGGGGAACAAGGGTGGGACTGAGGCAGGCTGGGCAAGTTTAAATAAAGGAATTTTTCAGCATGACAGCTAGATTCTTTTTACTGTGGAGATGAAAAGGAGTGTTCATTAATTTCTCAGGGAAAGATACTGTTTTCCTAGGAGTTCATTATGATATTATGATACATATGACAACATTTAAGTACTGCTGTAGTATGATGTTTACTATTCACACGCCAGACAAATGTGCATCCAAAGCTGTAGCAGTGCCCTAAAGTGTGTTGCTTGAAGTGTTGAAACACAATCAACTATCTTACCACGGTATGAACTTCTTCTCAGCTACTGCCCACAATCAGGCTCCCTTCCCTATACTCAATGCACAACCTTCCGCAGAGAACTCAATGAAAATGAAATCATGGAACAAATAGTTCAGACCCAAGAGAACCAAACGATAAAAAATGATTTTGATATATATATATATATTTATATATTGTAAATTTTTATAATTTGGTACCACCAACATCATCACAGCATGTCCATTAAGACACTGCTACAGCTTTGAATGAATATTAGTCTGGCATGTGGATAGAAAACATAATACTATACCAGAAATCAAATGGTAAAATATGTATGTTCATTTTGTATTGTGCTGCCGGGATATAGGTGTCTTGTGAGTACCGTATATACTCGAGTATAAGCCATCCCGAATATAAGCCGAGGTACCTAATTTTACCACAAAAAAAATATTGACTCGAGTATAAACCTAGGGTGGGAAATGAGGCAGCTACTGGTAAATGTACAAAATGAAGATAGATACCAATAAAATTACATGAATATTTATTTAAAAGAAAAACAATAACCTAGCTCTGTAAGTGGAAAAGGGGGTACAGGGCTACATATCATGTACTATGGATTATTTAACCCATTCATATTAGCAGAGGATAATTGTAAATCTATTGTTCAGTGCATTCTATATGTAGTATATAGTACATGTACATATAGAGTGCCTGCAACAATACATTTACAATGATCATCTGCTAACATGAATGGGTTAAATGATCCATAGTACAGGGCTACATACAGATAATTTAATCCATTCATGTTAGTATATTTGTAAATGTATTGTCTGCACTGTATTAGCAGTATATACTGCCTTAATTTTTGCAAAAAAATATGGCTGGATTTCTGCTAGCAACAAAGGCCATGGCCTAGGGCAGCAGCGCTGCCAGGAAAGGCACACAGCCACACACATTGTGTTGCTGCCTAGGTGCATAATACCTACAACCAAACATAATATTACATTAGCATAACAAGGCAAAAGTTTAAACTTAACTTGTAGTAATCAATTTTAGGTGTACCTATGCATAATGGGTATATTGTCTTCTAACTCCTCCAATCACACCATGCCTTGGGTGGCGCTGATGTCTATTCAGTCACTGGGGTAAGAGCAAGGTCATACAATACAGCTGACCTAGGGAAAAATATGTATACAACCAATTTGAGACTAGAAAGGAGAAAGCTAGCAATTTCATCTGAGGTGGGAGGAGATGAAGTTTGACATTGGAAAGTGGGGCACACCAAAGCAGAAAGCCCAGAATAGATAAAGACCCAGAATGGGCAAATGGAAAAGGCACAGAAGAGAAAGGAGAGAGAAAAGGGACATATAGACGATGAAGCGTATGAGAGAGAGGAGATACAGTACAGAGGTGACAGAGAAAGAGTGAGTATGTAAATGTAGGTAATATGTTTGGTTATATTTACTTTATGAGATTTGATAAAAATGTATAATAAAGATAACAGGGCTTTCATATAACAAGAAAACTATATAGATCATTCTTGACAGCCTTGAGGTTGACCCTCTTGACCTTGTTTAATAAGGCAAAGATGAATGTGTAAAGGGCATTAACCCATATAAATGAGAGTTCACCTTTCATTGATTTGACTACAGAAAACTGAAGTATGATTGCTATTGGTTTACTGTACATTATCATTTCTCTATGCTCTGCCTTCCTTAATAGATATGACAGTGTTATGATAAGTAGTTGAAAAGACAAATGACATTGTCTCAGGACTCTTCCATGTGTTATTTTATTTGTGCATCACATATTTTGCAATAGCTTTTTTGAGCTTAAGGCCTTGTTCACACCAAATGCAGAGCAGATCTGCATGAGTTTCTGCACACGCAGTGCAGTAGGTTTTGGCTGCGTTTTTTGCCGCATTTTTGATGCGTTCCGGGCCGTTTTTGGTAAAAAAAAACTATTTTTTTAGTTTTAAATGGGCTTTCAGTGCGCTCCAGGGCGTTTGCATGTGTTTTTGATGCATTTGCATGCGTTCCAGAGCAGGTAAAATAGGGCCTGCTGCAGTTTTGTACCTGCTCTGGAACGTAACACTGCGATGTGAACTAGAGCTAAAAATACCATTGGAATACATTGGATGCAGTTTTGCTCGGGTCTGTAACTGCTCTGCTTCTGGAACACGCTTGGTGTGAACAAGGCCTTAAGGTAGATTCACTTTTCCATTCACAGTTATTGAAGAATCTTACAGAAAAATGGGACATTTGACAATTTAACCAATTTAAAAACTAAAATTTAGAATGGATTGTTTTTGTGGCCAGAAACATTTGGGTGCAGAATAAAAATGCATATTTCCATCTTAGTAGAGAGAATAACTTGGCAGTGGTACGTATGGTACGTACGTACATGTATGGTGCTTTCTATGCAGATATGTGAAACATGCAAAAAAAAAAAAGGGAATCTGCTACAAGAGGAGCCTGTAGAAGTCATCCCTAGTAGGTAGTCAGATTCTTAATCTCCTTTTTGTAAATTGGCGATATAAAGGGGTGTTTTATATATATTTTCCTTAGCTAGTATATCCAGGACTAAAAGATAGCATTAAAAATCACTTTTATCAAGTCAATATTTATGTGAGTATTGTATACTTACATATTTGCAGCCAACTGGTGGCTCCTTTTCCCATGTGTGGCACCAGTGTTATGTTTTACTCTATAATAAATATTTTTTTTTTAAATAAAGGTTTTATATTTGTAGTACAACAGTGATACAAAATAGTTAAAAAATGTACATGGTCAAAGAAAAAGCCCCAAAACCATTTAATTTACTAAAATTGCCGCATTTCTTCAATGTTCTAATACAGGAAGAAACAACCTGCTCGCTGTCATTACATAGTAATATTAGTAGATATTTATATGAACTAAAAAATAGAAAATAAATCACCTACCCTCTCCAGCTGATTAAAAAATAGTTGTCAATTTTTATGCGTGTAATCAAGGTAGAAGCCTATAAGTAGCTGTACAGACTGGCATTTGCATAAGACGCTTGTGGCTCATGTTTGCCTAGTACTTCTAATGCTGTGACTGGTCAGAATGTATTTAGTCAAATGGATTAATGTTCACAAGCATTTATTGCTTTTTGTTGTAATGCTGCATGGATTGCAGCGTATAGCCACATTTGACCTTTTAGTCCCTGTATATCCTGATATCCCTCCCAGGCAGTTCCACCTTCCAGTAAAGCATTTAGCTTTGGGTGGGGAAGCAGACCAGAAGCCAATGATTCCTATGAAGAAGATGATTTATGCACCCTTAGAATAAGAATAGTATTATTGAAGACAGAGTGTCAGGATATAGCTGTCCCAACGGAACCAATAATGTGACAGGCACGGTCTTATTTTTCACACTGGCAATCTGTTTTCATACGCTGAATAGGTTCCTTACAATATCCCATTTGTACTATAATCAAGTGATTCCTTTCAGACATTGTTATACATGATGCCTGGTGTATCTGCACAGGAGGAAAGCAGGATGGTTTTCTGGAGTTGCAATGGATACTCTTACAAGCTACAATAGATGGGAACTGTTCTGATTTAAATGCTTTTCCATGACTTAGGTTAAAGTCCACCTTTGCCCAGACTATGCACTATAAAGTAATGACATATTCTGTAAAAGCAGATCTTTAAAACAAGCCCTCACTGGCCACTGTAGCTATAGGCATTTTGGGTAAATTTCTCTTTAAAGTTTATAACAGAGGCACTCATATCTTTCTGTTGCAAGAATCTTGGTAGACTGCCAGCCCTCTAATTTAAACAAACAGCAAGTGTTTTTAAGCTCCTAAAGCCCCACTCCAGGATGCTGTTAAAATGACCTATGCAATGGGGTCTCTGGCCACTACATGGGTTAAATGGTGGTTTGGCCTGGGGAAAAGGAATAAATGTGAATACTTACCTCGTTTCTGGCTCCTCTGGCAAACCAGTGCTCTCCTACACTGTCCAACACTCCCAGCATGTGGGTGAGCCTTAACCCTCCTCAAATACAATGCAAAACTACTCGTTCTGCATTGTATGTGAGGACGTTAGAGAGCTGTGACTGGAGCAAAGTGAAGTAACGTTGGGGGACTGGTCACACTAAAGAGGAAGCTTGTAGTAGCATATTACAAGCAGCTAGAAAGGCCAAAATGGCTTGTTTTTAAGCTCTTTTACTGCTTGTCAAGAATTTAAAAATAACAAGATGTCCAGTCTGGGAACAGGTACACTTTACAGTATATATACATAATACTATATTTTGAAATATTGTTGTCTGGATGCATCTAGACAGTTTGTGCCTCATCGTAGTCACATGTTCTGTTTATTGCTTGTTTTAAGAAGGATTGTGAAACATCATCCAGCCATGTATTTTGGCTACCATGTTTTCAGATGCAAAACAGAATTACTAGAAAGTGTTGTGCAGTGTTTCCCTGTGTCACTGTATCTTGTGCCTTTCAAAAGTGATGCCTTCTGTAACACATTTTTAAAAATGATGTTTTATGTACTATGTATTTGCAATAGACTTAGCCTTTACTTTTACTGTCTGCACTGTTTTAGGATGAACATCTGCTGGTTAAGCATTTCCAGTATCTACGCTGGTCCCCTTACAGAGATACTCCAGACACAAAAAGGTCCTTCTTACAATTACTTTCTATGGTAGAGCAATGGCAGGAACAGAACAGAGAACACAGACTTCTTGTACATTGCTTGTAAGTATAGTGAAATGTTCTGCAATGCTCCAGCTTTTTGTGTTTGTGCCAGAACTACTCATTTTTATCTTTTGCATTTGCTGCAGAAACGGTGGAGGTCGAAGTGGAACATTTTGTGCCTGCGCCATGCTCTGTGAGATGATCCGATGCCACAGTGTGGTTGATGTCTTCTACGCAGTGAAAAGTCTGAGAAACGTTAAACCAAATATGGTAGAATCTTTGGTAAGACAAAATAAATAGGTCACAGAAATATACAGAGAGTCACATAATCTTAAAGTAAACTTGTCATCCATTTTTCATGGGTGCAAAAATTGAAAAAAGGGCCTCAGTCATGAAGGGGTTAAAACTAAAGTCCTGTGCTTGATTGAAACCAGTTTCTAGATCTCTGCTGTCATTCCTTTGTCCAATGAGAGTGCCCTGCTTGGACACTGAAACACTCCCGTTGGGCAAGGGGGTGAAATTTAGGAGGACTTAGTAAGTAATATATGGTAATATAAATAACACGCCCACACAATATGTGCTTATATCAAAACAAAAGTGATATTCCATATGCAATACCATGCTAACAACAGTAACAAGTATTAGTGTTTATCCAGTATATAATTGTATTAAAAAGCAATGCTTCAGAGAAGCAACACCTAACCTTGACAATATATACTTGATGTTGAACCACAAATATAACAGCTGTGGAAGCAGTGAAAATAGATTCTTTGTAACCGCATACAAACCAGGCGCAAAGTGAGGCCCCAAAAACCAGTGTTTCGGGCTTTAAACTGACCCCTTTCTCAAGGTACACTCTTTTGTTTGCAGCACTTAGCCTTGACACTATTGAAGTAGGGTCCTTAGTAACAAACAGAAACCAGTTTTAGAGAGGCACACATAGAGGGTTTTCTTCTTAAAGCTATAGAAAACACCTTGTGCTGTTAACTCTTGTACAATATTGTACAAGATATTAAATAAATATAAGTGAAATAGCAACATACCTCTAAGCCTCATGTAGTAGAAGCAAGTCTTTTATCTTCTCATGTACTGAAAATCCTCATCTCTCATAAAGGTGTAAACATCTCTAACGATCAACCTTTCCATTAGCTGTATAAAGGGTATTATTGTCAGTATGAATAAGAGTTGAACTTGGCATGTAATTCCCTATTATCAAAAAACATAAGGTGCCAACAAATACTTTTTTTTTTCTAGTAAAAGCATTTTTTGTGCCTCTGGGGACCCCTTGTGCAAATACTGTCTTGGTACTCACAGTACATTGTCTGGTGTGCCCCTATACAATAAAAAAAGAGTACTGCAGGGACCTATAAAAGGCTTTGCATTTTGGAAAGCAGTGATGCCAGTGGTGGGGATGCATATGAGTGTCTTTAGGAAAGGCTTGATGTCAGTTTCTTTTCAAACATTGAGATCCATTACTGGGGGGTGTGGCCACTAAAGGGTGTGGCCACGGAGGGGTGTGATCACTGAGGGGCGCTGTAAAGCTTTCTCGCACAGGGCGCCTAAAGGCCTAAGGCCGGCCCTGGCCAGTTGGCACTTGGGCTTAATAGAAGATGTTTTTGCAAGAAAAGAGAATTATGCATGTCCGAGCACATTTTCATGCTGATGGGTTTATTTTGAGTTCCTTGTAGCTTTTCATGTTCATGAATTTGTGATAAAGAAGGTCTTCTGGGGCTAGAGAAAGCGAGTAATGCTTTTCCAATAAGGCCTGGCCAATCATGTAGCTGAGCATGATCAGAATTTTGTCTTCAGGGAAATGGCTATCCTTGTTCCTGCACCACTTCAAAATATGCCTTAGCAGGAAGAGAATTGTGGAGGACAGCTTTCTATAGCAGTTTTGCCAAGTACCCCGATATTCTGTCATCTATTTCTTCTCAATGGCTTTAGGTAAAAATCAAAAGCAACCAAGATTATGCCTTGCTTGAGTCAATTGTTAAAATATTTTAGACACTGGCCCTTAACATAAGGTTGAATGGATCCAAAGCAGTGAATCAAGCGGATTCAAACCCTGGCAGATTCATGAATATCACCTAATCTGCTCTACTGGTGTTTTTTTTTAACTTAAATTGCTTGAGAGTTAATAGCTTCCACAGCCGACAGGTGAATGTAAGCAGCTAGGATCAATAGCCAGACTGCTACTGTCTATTTCAAATTACAATAGCAGGCTGGCTATTGAAACCCCACCCGATGAGCAGTTCTCTCTCAGGTCCGCTCCTCTGCTCAGTGGGTGGGTACAATAGCCAGTCTGCCATTGGCTATTGTAATTTGCAATAGCCAATAGCAGCTGGCTATTGCGCCCCATTGTTTACATTCTGCAGCCGACAGTGGAATCTAGCTGCTGGCAGAAAGATGTAAACAGAATTTCCTGATAATAAATTTAGTTGCTAACAAAATTTTTTAGTGTGCATCAAGCCACCAGCAAAAAAGAAAACAAGGACATGTTATGTCCTCGATTTTTCTTTTTTTTGCCAGTTGCTTGAGAGTGGCCGTTGCCTGAATGCCAGATAATGGGGAGTTTACTGTAATAGCTTTATTATACACATTTATCTTTCCATGTAGATAGATATTTACATCCAGAAACAAGTACATGTTATGGTTACTTCTACCGAAGGTTTTTTTTTGCCTTTGCTTGCCACCAGATTAGGCTCTGAATTTGCTGCCCTTGACACTTTCCTTATCTACCAGCTCTGTCATCCTTAAAGAGGCGGGATTATTTTCTTCCCATCTCTCTTTATATGTAGTAAAGGTGGTTTGTAAACAGTGCAAATGACCAAGGAGAGATTGGAGATTAGTATCCACTAGTAAGGCGGGAATAGGGGTAGAGTAAAGGTAGTGTCTTTAATAATCTTATGCTATTGCCACCGGAGATAATATTTTCACTTCATATCATGTGAGATGTGCTGCCGCTACTGCATTAGAATGACTCTTAGCCTTATGTAATGACAGCAAATAACCACCCATATCAAAAAGAAACAAACATTTCACAGAGGTCATGGTGAAATTAGGTAAGAGCTAAAGCTAACACTAACTATGAAACCATTTTGTCTTTCTTTGCAGGACCAATATCGCTTCTGCTATGAAATTGCCCTGGAATACTTGGAATCATATGATGCCAGATAGCATCCATTTACGCTTGGAAGGCAACCACATAGCCTTTGCCCTGTGGAAGAGGGACGTGCCAATTGGATATGTTTATTTTTTGGGGCCAAAATCAAACACAATTTAGTCACCTTCCATAATACAGTTTAAAAATGGCTTCTCTTAACTATCCCTACTGGACAAGGATAGGGTTTATAATTGGAAGTCATGATAGTAGTTGCCTGTACATATTTACAACTGTACATATTGGTGTGATTATGGAAGGCATAGCTCTGCTTCTCAATTTGTGAGACTGAGAGCTCTTCACCTACTTGTAGTTGTTATTATGAGGGTGACTCCAACAAATGATGTTCAGTAGCTGAGGGTACAGTGCTACATTACTATTTTTCTCTGATCTGCTGCATTAAGCACTTCATGATGTCCTGCAGCTTGCAGTGTCTGCACTAAGGAAATATATGGAAGATCCGACACCTAGACAAAAGAAGATCCAGTTAACAGAGACATGGAGATCAGAGTTATTAATATACAACACACAGGACTCTTTACTATACATGGGTATACTAAGGTATCCTCTACAATAAACCTATCATAAGTACTGTCTAAACTGGAGCTATAAATGAAATTGAAGTGCCTGCACATACCTGAAACATTTTTCCTGAGCCGCTGGGAAGACCTGAAACTTGGGGAAATAATTTATGCAAATCTTTTCTTGAGCTGGGAAAGTCAAGCTTTGTCCTTCCTCCTGTGTGTCCTTATTGGTCCAAAGGTGTGACTGGTGCCCTCTCTGACCAATAGAGACCTTGGGTTTTGGATCTTCTGGGGCACTTCATAAGAAATCTGTAGGTATGTACAGGCATCACTACCAGTCCGTATTTCATTTAATTTAGTAAGGATAGACTGATAATAGGTTTACTTCAAGATGAGATTTATATATGCAAATCAAAGATATGACCACTACAAGTCAAATGGGTTTGCCAGTGTCAGTGGTATGTAAGGACCCTGAATTGTGTATAAGCAGCCTTCGCTTTCATCTCTCCATTTGTGAACTTCTCATAAGGCGGGAGGGAAAAGTATCGGGATCAGATGGCATCACCCAAAAGACAACAAGTTAACGTGTCTTATTTATATGTGTAATGGATGTCCCTAGCTAATCTTCTATGCCACTATATACACTGAGATTGCAGTCATGATCACTATTTGTATATAATGCTCAACCATGTACAAACCCCACAAGTTATGAAGGGGTTTTTCAATGCTTTATTGTACTCAAATAAACTGCTTGTTTTTATGTGTCCTGTATTGTGATTGAGATCCACAAGGACGTGAAAACGAGGCATGATTTCTAATTCGCAAACATTAGTATGAAATGCCTTTAGCAACTTTGTGAATAGTCAGTGTGGGTGAGCGTACATACATCTAATTCGTGGTTGTTGAAGGCATGAGGCTCTTGACACTGATGTTTTCACATTAAGAGATGCTAAGAGGTGTGTGCTGATGCGCCTGTTTGTAAGTATTATTTATCTCTTCCTGATGACAGTTTATTAGGAGGAGATGAAAAGTCAGTGTCTGCATATTAGATGGCGATGACACGTTGGTGTTCTTCATCTCTAGAGACAAGACATAGGTTCCTTGCGCTGGCTGTCTGTGTGCACGAGAGTATCGAAGATAAGGTCGCTGCCTTTTCAGTATTATGGATCATTTGCCAATGCTGCAAGCAAGGAGTCAGCCAACTGCTGTCTTGTTCTGCAGTGGATTTTATTTTCAACCTTGCAGGGGTTATTAAAAAAAATTTGGCAGATAGGCATTTGGTAATTTGTCCTTGTGTGAGGGGGCTGGGCTGCATCCGCCTGCAATGCCTTAAGTTCCCTACACAGCTTTCTGTGTGATTCATTTGCTCTTGGATAGGGCCAGAGGTCAGCAGCCTGTTAACTCCAGAGAAGCTATCATAGATAAAACTGTTCCTGCTCATTACCTTTCTCAGTAGCAGTAAACAAGATGTGGAAATGCTCTTTTAGCAAAGTTGATGCACTTAATAGTTCATCAGATCTTGCACTTATTCACTGACGTGTTCAATTGATGAAATGTTTTTTTAAGTAGTGCAGATTTCTCTTTATTGGTGGAGCCCACCTTTTTTTAAAACGTATTTAGTATGACTAATGTTATGCCCTGAAACCTATTTCTTTCTTTTTTTTTTAGTCTGCACTCATTTAAGATTATAGTGGCAAATTAGGACCAGGGCACTGATTAAGCTGCAAAAGTACATAAGGCATGATTTAGAAAGTACTAAAGCCAGGGGTTTAATACCACAGCAAGGGAGCAATATTTTCAGATGGAGAGGTCAGCAATGGCAGCACCCACACTTCCTCTTTCTTTTAAATGTTGTTGCATCTTGATGAATGCAGCCTCCTATGTTGTTATTTGTTGTAACACAGCATCAAATATTTGGCCTTTCCCTTTTCACTGTAAATAGTGCTACACTGATACAGGGTGAAATAAAGCATTGTGCAGCACTTTTTGCAAGCACCATTGTATCATAGTGTAAGGCTAGCCATACACTGATGGTTTTTAGAGACAAAATTCTTGATTCCCCTATCCATGCTGTTTCGTGTTTAGGGTTTCTTTTTAGAAAAAAAACACTTAATTCTGCCATCCACACTAAACAGCCTGGATGGGACAATCATGCCCGGCAGGCTTTTGTATTCTGACAGTGGTGGGTGTGTCGCTGTGAGAATACCTGAACAGTAGACATGTGCGATTAGTTTCGTTCCGAATCGAAATTCGGACGAATTTTCGGAAATTCGGACATTCGGCATGTATCCGAATTCCGAATTACAGACATAACGAATGCAAATGAATCCGAATTTCCATTTCCGAAATTCGGTAGCGTTAGTTCGAACGTTCGTTTCGTTTTCTGTTCTTATTCGTTTCTTATTCGTTTTTTATTCGTTTCGTTTGTTGGAGCAAAGTGACATTAGAGAAGGAGAAAAATATTTTTCCCCCTCAAATGTCACTTTGCTGCAAATGAACGAACGAAAATAATACGAAACCAATAAGAAACGAATAAGAACAGAAAACGAAACGAACGTTCGAACTAACGCTACCGAATTTCGTCCGAATCCGAATTGACTTTCACACCCGAATCCCGAAAAACGAATTTAAAACGAAACGAAACAAATTTTTTGGCAGTGCACATGTCTACTGAACAGTGGCTGCAGTCACTTTTCAGTCAATAATTTTTGGACCGACTCCTTTGACAAAAGTTGATTGGGGGGAGGGGGGGGGCAATGCACACTGGTCAAATTTTGGGCAAGTCCTGCGGACACTCGTGTCATGCGCCATGCCTCAACCAAGCCTCAAGCTTAAGAACTATCTTCCTTTTTTTTTTACATTTGTTCTGCGTAATAGTGGGCTTGTGGCTGGAACATGGCGCAGTATAGATAATGACCAAACTGATTTGCTTGTCTGTGGTCTTTCACAGCCATGAAACAAATTGCTGCAAGTGTTTTTTACGTTTCCCTCTTTACAAGTCAATCAGAATGCATTGTGAATCTGGTAACCATTTACACAAGCTGTAATGCAGTTCACAATAGTCAATAATGTAGTTATTTTACGGGTATTTCCACTTTTGCAGCCAGTTTGTGTTCACACAGCATAATGAAAATAATTAAAGAAAAAATGTTTCTTACCTTTCTGTTTGTTGCAGCAGGATTATAGAGACAACTCTAGGACTCTATAGACTACTTCCAGTGGTTTGTTACGCCTACTGCAGGTGTTGTGTGTGGAGCGCAACTGCGGAGGGGATTTGCAGGAGTGGTAGATAATAGGCATCTCAGGCGTGAGTCTCAGGCGTCGCTCCCAGTCTTAAGGGGGAGTTTGAGACTCTTGCATCACAGCCAGTGTAAAATGAAATATAAGTAGGGCTATTAACTCATAGCATCCCAGTAATAGTAATTAGAAAAGTCAAAGGTGAGATAGGATATACTTGCTGCAGCTAGGTACCATTGTATTGATGAGCAATTAGGTATTCACAATATTATGCATCAATTTGTATAGTCCAGCAGGGGAGCAGGCATACTGATAAGTGACTGGACTTTTTCTTTTAAAGTCCATTAACATACAATGCTTTGAGGTCTTTACCCTTTTAGGACAGACAGGCCTGCTCATTTGACAGGTGATAATGAAATCTGCCACCACAGTACAGACAGGGTTAATTACTTGAAGCAAAACATGCCTCTCCAACCCCACAGAGAGTGAGAACTAAGCAGGATTTTTTTTTAGTCCTGGAATAAGCAGAAAGAGCATCTAAAAAAAAAAGGTAAGCTGCAACTTTTTTGTTTTCTTTTTAAGTTCGGCTATGTGATTGGGAGCATGTAACAAATCTAAAGTAAGTGTTTTTCCAATTTGGCTGCAAAGATGGAAATACACTTTAAGTTGCTGACATATCACTTTCCATTACATTTTATTCTTGCTAGGCCACTGGATGTCCGGTCTGCAAAATGTCAGTTATTCTGCATTATGCTTTAGAATAAATTGATTTAGTTAAACATGGCTATATGTTGCACTTCAACATTTTGCAGTTAATTACTGCACAAAAGTACTAAAAGCAGTTTAGCACCAAATGGTTTAGTAGTTAAACTTTCTATGAAATTATATGTGCAATAAACCATGCTTTTGCTCAGTTTTATCTAGCTCGTTACATTAAGTAGTCTTAAATTCTGACTGTTCTATGACATAGCCATGGTATTTTAGTATAATTGTTTATTGTGGCTTAACATAGTTCTTTCTTTTTAAGTGTTTATAGCCATGTGTCTTCATCAAAAGTCTGTGAATATTGCCCATCTGTCTAAAACTCATCCTCAGTGCATGCTGAAATTTCAGATGTCCACGCTTCATGGCCAGATATTTTGTTTGATGCCTTTACTTACATTCCTCATTATCACATACTATGCCAACTGCTAGATATGTCACATGCTTAAAATATCCTGTATGCTTTTCCTTTTGATGTATGGCTTCCTTATAAAATCCATTGTAATCACCATGGTTTACTCAGGGACAGTTTTACAAAAAAATACACAGGCTTTATGAGGCCACTTGGCAATTTACGGGCTCATTGCCATCTCATAAGTTGTTATTAAAATCGGAGGTTGCTTTGTAAGTGATCCAAGTTTCAGATGGTGTTTTCTTTAAGAACTATCACACCAACAGATCTGTTGATAGCTGTGGCAATTGTACATTACAGTTTTGAAATTAAAGTACATATACAGTATAGCCAAAACTTTCATTTTCAGTTTTGCATAAGGTGGTGAGGGGTTAGAACCCCTTTGAAGTTGTAATTGCTGTCTGTGTCCTTGCTGCCTTTCTCCTTGCTGGTTAGATTCACCCTCTGTATTTTTCCTGATGACCATTGCACAGAAACAGAGTTGATTTGAAAACCCCCCTTTTTTTAATTCTTTGTTTTAAAAAGAACATGTAATGGCCAATAAAACATTGT